AATACGTCAACCACAGTAGAGCTGGTGAAGTGGATCACATCTAAGTAAAGAAAAATGTAATGATACGTCAACCACACTAGAGTTGGTTTAGTGATCACCTCTTACCCTTATTTCATCGAGAGTAAATTAGTGAAAAGAACAGAGATTGATTTAAAGGGATGGGGTGATTAGGAGATAAAAAATATAAGTCAAGGAGTAACAAAGGGTAATCAGAAACACTTGGGAAAACACATTACCAACCCCATCCCCTGTTGTATGCATTTTCTTTTCTTTTTTTGAATCGTAGGATTTAAAACATATTTCTTGAAAGCATGCTCCAGACCCAATCATATAGCCCCCCCCCCCCCACATAAAGCTCCGTATCAACCCCTAGAAATCTTAACCTATCCCTATATAATAATCTAGTAGCACTCCTGTGAATCCTTTCCAATAATTCAATATCCTTTCTTAGATAAGAAAACAAAACTGTACACAGTTCTCAAAGTGAAGCCTTTTACTTGTAATTTGTTTAAATTACTTACCTTGATTTGTAAAATTTAAATAAAATTTAACGTTCTATCAACTTTACCGCTACCAACACAGCACTGATGGTTTAAGTAACTTATCAACCACTTCCCAAGAACATTTTCTTCAAATAAACTATTGTAAGGATTCTCATCTGTATTAAACCTATGATCAAAAATTACGATAACCGAAATGTATTATCTTGCCCTTAATACAATAAAAGGACATCCGCCAAATATTTGTTCAACCTGCCAACTGATTCAACATTCTCGAAACAGCTAGGTATACTCGTGTCACCCGTATGTGTTTGATTTACAAATCGGTTAAAAGTAAACATTGTACATTTGAAATTTGCTTTAGTTGAAGACATAAATATATAAACTTAGCTTTTCTACACCAGCAACAATTTTTTTATTCTGTACCTTAACAGTAAATCACGATTATTACGTAAACCATTGCTATGTGAAATCGTGACGAGAATTTGGGAATAGTAATACGTACGATAATTAGAAACTACATGTAGGGCAGAAAATGATTGTAGTAAATTGAACTATAATGATAATTCATTTTACAGTTACTAGGTGGCGCGACGATCGGCTACATGATGTGGGTTCTTGGGACTTCACCTACAACGAAAGAGTTTCTCAACGGAAGATTAGTAAGATTTATTTATCATTTTTTCCGTTGCAATTGATACCCAAGTGATGAAACAATGTATTCTAATCTTTACAAGTAAATCCGTGAGAATGGCATATTTGATTTGCTATGTTGTGGCTAGGTTGATTTTTAGTTTCGATCTGGGTACGTGTATAGCTCACTTATTATTATTATTTGATTATCTAAAAGAAACTGATAAAAATTAGCTTAATAACTAAACAAATAACACGTGACTTAAACATAAAACAAAACGTAAATATTATAGCGTTTATTGACCGGAAAAATTGAAGTGAACTTGAAAAAAAAAGCACTTATATATATTCTAATCTGCAGGTGTTCACGTACGTTATACTCGGTGTTGGATCTCTTCTGTTTCTTGCAGGTGAGTATATGTGTCTGTTTATATATATATATATATCTGTGTAGACAAATTTAGATATAATCTGTGACTACGAAAGCAGAAAAAGCAACACAGGATCAAATAAACTGAAGTTTTAGTGCTCATATTTACAATTCTTCTCTCAGTAATCAAAAACTACCGAATTATTGAAATAGGTAGATAATTAAGCTCCGCCTTTGATACTATGCTTATCCGCTTATTGAAATAGGTAGATAATTAAGCTCCGCCTTTGATACTATGCTTATCCGCTTATTGAAATAGGTAGATAATTAAGCTCA